TAAATCGCTTTTTAATTTGATAACTATTTACATATGATATTTTTATTTATTTTATTTAAAAAATCTAATTTATTTTAAGTTTACTTAGATTAACTACTATCCAATGTTATTGCACTGTTAGAATAGAATATTTCAAAAAAGAAACTTTTCTCGTCAATTTTAATTAATTAGGTTCATCTCTATTAATTTATTCTTCTCTAATTTTTATTTTGAATTACTTAATGTCTACCTAATGAGAAAATCTATTTGTTCAATTTCTAATTATTATTTTTCTATTTTTAGAATTGAGAATGCGTTTTGTTATTACAGATTGAGAGCTCTTCTCTTGATATGAATGCTCAATAGGTAAGCATTTTCTTTTCTTTTTTTTATTCTTTTTCTTTTTTGAATTTTTTTTATGTTTAAATACTAATCTTACATGTTAATATAGTAAAATTGTAACATGTTGTAACGGGAAATTGATGGGCATAATAAATCAAATAAAATTTTTGGTTAAAAATTATATTTTCTATTTACTACAAAAAATATCTAATTCGCTTATCTAATTAGCTAATTAATATTATTAATGATATATTTTTATTAAAATTATTTACCTAGCTAATATGTAAATGTAAACTAAATTAAGAATATGAAAAGTAAAAGTGATAGTATGATAGGTATTAGACGATGTATACAGGTCTCTATAATTATCAAAGTGTGACACAGAAAATGAATCATGGAAAAATGATCGGTGCTTAAGCACGAGCTAAAATGCTAGTGGTAAATGAAATATATAATGAATTACCGCAGCATCAGATATGGACTTTTCTTGTTGTAGTTCTTCCTCCAAGGCTCTGAGCGCTTCAATGCATGATCTGTAGCGCTTCTTCGTCTTGGTATCAATGTAACACTGCCACCAAAATAGTTCAGAAAATTTTGTTCTTTTCACCAAAAAAGAAGAAGAAGAAGAAGAAGAAGAAGAAGAAAAGATGAGTTGCGAGAATGAAAGAAATCCTCCTGAGCTTTTAAAATTAACAGTTTACTTTTCCGTTTTCAATTTCTAATCAAGTAAACTTCGATTCTTTTGATGCAATCATCAAATTTCAATATGATAATAATATATAATATAAAGGTAAATTTGCCACGGTTACTCAAATAACAGTATATAAGAAGAATACATACGGATATCCTATGGTCATTTTTTTCCCCATCAGGCTAATTTCTTTAGAAATTGAAACGGAATGGCCCGCAAACTTTATGGTGGGGTTTCTGTAATTATTTACCTAAACTTGAAATATAATTCAACAATATGCAGTTACTTACCCAGTCTTTTCTCCCTGCTGTTGCTCCAGTTTCTCTCACTGTACAGCGAGCAGCAATCCTGTTCTCTGCCAGGATTGCCAGCTTCCTTCGGCTGCTGCTGGAGTTCATAATTTCTAAAAAAAACTGGATTAGATGGGATACACAGAAAATAGATTATGACCTGCGTAGATGAATTTTTAATGAGATAATGTGAGTACTCAGTGTTTGATGGCGATTGTATACATAGAGGGTGAGAGAAACAGCATATCTTAGACTAAATTTAACTTAATCTTTACTGTATAAATTTAAAGAAGGGAAGATGAATATATCATAAATAGTTGCTTTTTATAAAATCTCACAAGTTCAAAGAATGCAACAGATACATTCAACAAATAAATGCAGACATTGTAGGATTGGCAAGAAGAACTCAGTTTGACAGGTTGGCGGTCGACCGCGGGTCTTTGGCGATCGACCGAAGTCGTGCACAGGACCTCACTGTGCCTCTTGATCTCTGGCGGTCGACCATGACGGTCGACCGCGAAAGTTTCTGTTGTCTTGGGAAGTCTTTGGAGTTGATGCGGTCGACCGTGACAGTCGGCCGCGATACCTGCGCGGTCGACCGTGACAGTCGACCGCGATACCTGCGCGGTCGACCGTCACGGTCGACCGTGACGCAGTCAGACTGTTTCCTAAATAGTTTTGGATTCTGTTTCTACCAGGACTCTATATATACCTTAAACGTTTTTAGGGTTGAAAATAAGCACGAAAAAGAGAACTTTTTGACTGTAGAAAAAGAGAGAATCTCAGAGAGATAAAACCCTAGTTTGAGAACTTGTATTTCTTCTTCAATTAATAAAGGAATTGTGTGGTGTGGCTCCCGAGGACGTAGGCACGTTGCTGAACCTCGTTAAATCTGGTGTGTTTGTTTCCTTTACTCTTTTACAAGTTTTGATCTTTATTTGTGGTGAATTTCCTACTTTCCTACTTTCGACATAAGGTCCGGAAGGGCAAGGGTTCGATTGATTATTTCGAATCCCCAACATTTAGTTAGTTGATGGTCTTTAGTTTACTTTTGTAACACTTTCCATTTCTGTTAGGTCGATGTATATTTATATTTTCTCCAGTATTTAGTTGGATAGTTTTGTATTATGGTATGTATAACCCGAATATAATGTCTTGGATGTTATTCTTTTATGATATGAATCCTTTTGTTCTGAGTTGTTTATTATATTCTTACTAACTGTGATCGAGAACCTATAACTTCGTATTATATTTCTTGACGCTTAGCTAGGCAGTCAGTTTTGATGCAGCCGATTTGGTGAGTAGACACAGTTGTTTTGGGTGAGTGTCCGCACTCCCGTTTGGGTCTCGACATGTTATGGATTGGGTCCGCTGTCATGAGTCCGTTGCCATGGCGTACTGGATGCAACAAGTGAGGCATTGTTTTTTGTTGGTATCGGCTTAGTTTGGTAGAATCTTCGCCGAGGTGGAGATTTGTAGAGATGGAGCTCAGAAGCAGTTATGGAAGCAGACAGATTGGCGGTCGACCGCTACAATCGACTGTGTTCGTGCACAGAAGGCACTATACGTCTGGATTGGTGGCGGTCGACCACAGAAGTTTCTGTTTTCGGGGCGGTCGGTCGTCACGGTCAATCGCAGAAGTTGCTGGAGATTCGTTGCTGCTCTGGGATTGCGGGCGGTCGACCGTGGCAGTCGACCGCGATGGATCGCGGTCGACCGTCACGGTCGACCGCCGAAGCGGATTTGGGTTGGGTTTGGTTTCCAAACCCGTTTCGTTTGGGAGTTGTATATATACCCTTAACTCGTTTTTAGGATTTAAGAGAGAGGATTTTGAGCTGAAGAAAGAGGAGATTTGAGGCTTTTATTGTTGGAGCCATTTGGAGAAATTAAGAGGGCTTATTTGTGGGTTTGTGGTAAGATTTGTAACCCTAATTGTATTCCCCTTGATTTCTAATAGTAAAACTCCCCCTCCTTGCCCCGTGGACGTAGGCAATTTACCGAACCACATATATTGTGTGTTCTTGCTGTGATTGGGTATTGCTTGTGCTATTGGAATCTATTTATTGGTTCTTGTGTGTGCTATTGATTTGCCGAATCGGCTTCTGCCACGCACAACGAACATGAACCAGCTTAATTTGGATTTATCAAATTAATATAGGAAGTACATGAATATAACAAGAGAGGATAGATTTAGTTGACAATATTTGATGTACATTCATTGCTAACTTGATCTATGTATAATGGGCTAGATTCATTGTGCTTGTTTAATTTGGATAGTTAATTCTATGCATTAAATCTGTTTATTGATTAATAAATACAACGTAACTAAATAGTGATCAATTTCGGTTCTGTCTAATTAGACTCATTCTGGTTCGGTTTAGTGTATTCTAGAGAGGCGTATAGATGGACATACATGCTCAACATATGCTCTGAACATGACTCTGTCCAAAGTGCTCTTCTGAAGCTATCTAGCTTAGAACCTACCTTACATTTTAAAAAATTAGCTAATATTTTGAAGAAAGGTAGAGTAGATAACCAGAAGAACTCTAAGGTAAGAAGCAAAGGAAAATGCTTAGGCAAATAACATATGGATATATGTGTCGTCCATGGCGTGTTGTTATGTTGAATATGGGTTAATTGCGCATAGACTCCCTGTACCCTCGCCAAATTTCGTGTAGACCTCCTGTACTTGTATCATTGCAGATAGACTCTCTGGATTATTAACTCTGTTAGTTGTCCCTTCTAAATTAATTATATATAAGGGCCTCTATGCAAGTTTATGGTAAGTAAGGCAGTTTATGAAGCTCATATGTTTCAGTTTATGAAGCCCGATCTTAAAGTGGAACTGAGTTGAGGATACATGGGGGTCTATCTTCATCGATAGAAACATATATAGGAATTTATCTGCAATTTGAAG